TGTGCATAATAGCATGTGCATGATGTATACCACTAGCTAGTCAGAAATCTGCTATTCCAAAATGACTCCACACAAATGAAGCATAGTGAATATTTTGCTGTGGCCTTTGTACTGATAGAAACATGACTTTGTAAGCTGGGATACACTTCCAAATACACCCTGTAACAGTGCAGCAAATGCAAGTGACGGTGCTGAAAGACAGCGAGGGACCTACCAAGTGCAGGCTGTGTGCTGGCGTAGTGCTGCTTCCCTCCCCCCCCCTGGCTGGCGAGCTGAGTGGCAAAAAGCTGAGTCATGGGTAACTTGGGGCTTCCCCAGGGGGCGGGATGTGAGCTCAGGTCCTCAGTGACGCCACCAACCCCCCCATACTCTGAATTCTTGTATTTATTGTTGTTGTCATCAGTATTGTGGGGCGTTTCTGCTGCGATAAATGAGCTGTCAGCATTTCCAGAATGCAGATCTGCTCTCAGAGGGGGGGAGGGAGGGACTGTGGAGGTTTGGATGCTGACAGGGGGGGGCACTCCAGCACTCGAGCCTGATGTGATGCTGGTGTCTGTTGAGCCGCCTTCGGAGGGTGTAACTTTTGGCTGTACGGTTCCCATGCCTTCAGGCTGAAGTGAATGTGGAGGCTTTTCCACTGCCACTGTGGTGCTGCCCTCCCAGCTCGGTCCCTGTGGTCTGACGGGTGGCCCAGCCAGTTCGGAAAATCCTCCAAGGGGCTGCCATTTATCGTCACCTTCGCTGCTTTCCCCTGGCTCTGCTGGGAGAGCTTCTCGATTTGGAGCAGACTTCTTCTCCCGGTCCTCGCCCGAAGAACCCTGAGAGATAGGAGATGGTTCTGTCCAGGCCCTGGGCCATTCAGAGTTGGGGGCCGTAACTCCTTGCGGAATCACGTGGAGCATCGAGGCACTTTTTTCCACGGTCGCCTGGGAGACCGTCGTCAAGGAGACCGATGTTGGGACCTCAGGGGGCTCTATATCCTGGGGTTCCGGAACCAGGATCCAGGCCATTGTGCTCTTGGCCCCCAGTAAAGTGGGTGACTTATTGGTGGACGGCTCTAGAGATTGTGTCCACACCTGTCCCTGCTCCATGAACTCTGCAAAGGGACGACAAAGGGACTCATTTAGAGAACGACAAGGCTAATTATCACTCAGGGCACATGCTCCGCCACTTCTAATGCTAGTGCCATTCACATTTTACCATGACAGTGCAATGCACTAACTCATTAGGTATTCTTTGTTAAATTTATCGTCTTTTTTTACAGATCATTTGCTTTTTACTGAGCCATTCTGTTTCTGATGTAAAATACAGAGAGAGTACTCCAGGGAGAGGTTGCGTCTGTCTGATCTTCATATAAATGTTCGCCGAGTGGCGTTTCACAGTAATTCATGCTAAAATGAGGTGACAGATGCATACATTCTGCACGCCAGTCAAACAGTCACACTTCCAAGTGTGTGTTTATTAATGCTATGCTTAGAAATTACTCTGGTTCTTTTACCAAGAGCAACGGAGAGATCGCTTTGTACTAATTTATTCCTGTGTCAATGGATTCATTTGTTAACATATTCATACAATTATCCTCTTTTCACTCTATTTCTCACGCTTTCCTAATTAAGAAGCACTCAAATCTTTTTATTTTAGCAGAAAAAGTGTAAAATAATCTGCAGGTTATCTGTTCTGCTCTCTTATAAATTGGTTTCACTTAGCTGAGCACTGAGAGTGTGATTTCAGTAAATTACACCTTTGACCCATTCAGTGCATCAAGCATCTTACTGCAGGTCTGTTGTGTATCCGGCGCTCAGTGTTCCGTGTGTTGGGCAGACTAAATCCAGACTGAATTGCATCGAGTATGTCACGGAGGTTACAGCTATCCTGTGCCGAGCCTTTATGATGTCGGGCATTGTTAACACCCGCTGGGACTGTGTTTAACACCCAGAGCGGCTATTAGGCTAAAGATAGCGGCTAGCCTGTCTAGCATTTAGCATGATTAGTGAGCTGCTGTTCAGGCTTCAGCATGGTTAGCGGGATAATGCTAGTTCACTAATGCTACTTCGCTACTATGTTCTGTTAATAAGAGCCGGAGCAAGACCCAGGAATAAATATAAAACCAACAGCTGTTAAGGAAACATACATGAATATTAATCATTAAATTACCATTCAATTATTCAATACTTTCTCTGTCCTGTGGGGGCATTTTCAGCACCAGTTACTTAACACTTTCTGCTCCATAGCCAGAAAATCCATTTATTCATGGTGAGCCCAAGCACTTCAGTGACACGCAGTGTGACAGTTAGCGCGGGCGTTGCTAGGGGTGTCAGCCAAGCCAATGGGAGCATGCAGGCCCCAAGTGCACCATGGGTATTTCTCCCACTAATAAGCGCTAATGGGCATGTAAACAAGGACAGCTGTACGACCAACACAGCCAATCTACATTTTTAAGTATTTAAACTAGCCTGTTCAAAACCATAGGAGCCTTCGGTAGTCAGCGCAATACAGAGGCACCCGTCGAACATCAAAGGCCTACGGGGAAACCGCGACAAGAAACCATGGCGATCAGAGCAAACTTTCTCTCATCGTTTCATTATGTCTCCCCCTCATGCGTCGCTGGGCGAGCATCTGGGCTGATGGCACTGGCTGAAATCACGCCCCTGACGATGCTTGCATTAAGGGCACTTCCATCAAGGAGAGAAGAGAGGCCAGGGGCACCATGCTGGGCACCAGCCATAGAGGGGCCTGTCGGCGGCCATGATGGAATGCTGGCATCTCAAGCATCTGAGGCAACACTTCTAATATTAAGTTGCAGGGGCCAGAGGGGGGACATCCATTACAGACCCCCCCCCCGACCACAGCCTTTCCACTCACTCCGGGCCCTCTCTGGCTCGCCTGCTCCCCCTCACCCCCACCATCCACAACAGAGCAGAAAAACAACAGATGTCAGATGTGAACGATTAGCCCTCCTGTTAAAAACTGGATGCCGTTTTAATGGCTCGACTGTGCAAATTTGTTTGTCGCTATGGATTTTGCTTAATTAAACTCTTAAAATTGCTCGTTATAACCGGTCGATACAAGCTTCATGACATTATCAGTTGACAAATTATGCTGCTTCATTAATTGCTTAATTGATTTGTTTTTAAATCAGACCATTAGTTAAACACCAGCATCTGGGTCTTAGCAGTCCTTTGGAGTGTGTTGGGTGTTTTTGTTCTCTGTCTTTAAAATGAATCCAGGTTTTTAATATCTTTCTGACGTCAGCAGTACGGGATGAAGTGATTGGCTAGATTTCTTTCAGCGAGCTTAAAAAAATGATGCAACTCTGCCTAACGCTGCAATGTTTATGAAAACGTCTCGCTACGGTCGACGTCAAACGCTACGCAGCTCAACACCGCGAAAAAGCCACAGACACATACTGGGGTGGGCGTTTGAGCTTCCTTTGGAATTTATTGGGTAGCTTTTCTTAGCCATACTGCTGCCCTCTTGACTGAAGGGGACCACTGTCTCCACAACAGGGATCTCCTGGGGTGAATCCTTCAGGCGGCTGCCAGAAGACCCGAGCGACTCTTCTCTGCCTGGGGTCTGCAGACTGGTGGCTCCTGCCCACCTCCCTCTGTCCCGGGTCGCCCCCAGAGCAGGGCTGCTGGAGGTGGCCGTGATTCTCCCCTGGCCGGAGCTTCCCCACAGCTTCCAAGGCACGATGACAGACTTGAAAGGGGCAGAGAAATGGCTGCTGGCTTTTTGGGGCGGAGGCAACAGAGACGGGGCTGTGTAGCCCACGGGGACTGCTGCTCTCGACGGTCCGTCGGCTTCTTCCTCATCTCCATCCTTCTCTAATGCACTGATGTCTCCAAGCGACGGCTCCCCATTGGACGGCTTATTGCCTAGCTGTTGAATATCAGTGCCCGAGGCCACAGCGTGACGCCCGCTCAGGGACGTCCCTTCCGGCCAGGGAGGGGTCTCCAGGCTAACCCCCGGAGAATCTCTGAGCAAGCCCTCGTTTGGGTCAGCGGGAGGCGTACTGGGGGAGTTACTCTGTTGGTCAACAGATAGGGGGGCCTGGCTGGCCTCGCTCTGATTGGCTGGAAGGTGTTCCGCAGACTGCACAAGCAGACCACCAGCCAGCTGCTCTGTAAATGAAAGCAGTTATTTCATCTATAATGTTTGCATAAATATGTCTGCTTATTGTCTCATTTCAAGAAAGAGATTCATATCATACTACATTACTTTAAGGCAAATAAGTCCCCAACCTCCCCAAGGAAGTTTATATATATGCACACACACACACACATGTGTGTGTGTGTGTGTATGAGACACATAAAGGAGTACTGCAGTACTACAGGAAGAGTGGTCACAGTAAATCCTTCTTACAAGGAGCAATGTGACAAATTACATTACTACAGTCGCATTTCTAACATTCTGTCCAAACCCAGAGGGTCAGAAATCCACCATGGCGGTAGCTCAGTGCTGGTAGCTGAAGGTAGTTGCAGTTACCTCTGTAGCAGTAAGCACCGAAGAGGGCTGAGGTATCAGACATGCCCGTGAGGTCAGCACTGTGGTACAGCGTATGCACCCCAGGCTCTTCCCCTCCACACCAGGCACGGGGCTGTCTGATAGGATAGCGGACGCTGCCGTCAGCCAACCAGCCAGGATCACAGTGGTCAAGCCCCGCCCTCCAGGCCAAGTACAGCTGGCCAGTGGTGGCCAGACAAGCACCTTGAGAACGGCAGTGGGCGGCGGCCCTGACCAAGCTAAGTTTTCCTGGTACGCTGGAATGGAAGACTTCTCCTGTGGAGGCCAACATCAAGGAGAGGAAAGGAGAGAGGAGAACAAACAGAGATGATCAGAGCAGACTAAATACATCACTGAGATAAATATTAGTTAAAGTGAGAGTTAAAAGAGATGCTTTCTTCCTGGTGAAATATACCCACATGAGTTCGACCCTTGGCGCTCTCCAACATTAAAAAAGATTTTAATGTTTTTAGGTTTTTAAAGATCCTTCCTCACTGCTCTTTGAAAGTTCATACCAAGTCAAATTCCTTACCTTGAAGCTCTGTTGCATAGCAGTAAACATCAAACAACTCATTAGGGTCTCTGCTGCCCAAGTTCTTTACACCAGGTGAACCATCCCCATTGCCGTAGCAACCAGGCCTTGGAGACCAAATCGGGGACCTATGTAAGGAGAGACAAGTGCAAGAATAAGGACATTTTTCCAAGCTGGGGTGGCGTGAATTTATGGGTAGATGATGAAAATAAAGATGTTAGTTGGGTGTACTGGCAAGATTTCAGCTGTGTAAAGGGCGACAGAGAATGTACCCATAATGCAACAACTCAGACTTGGCAAAAGTCCCCTTAACCTTAAAGCTGCAGGGATTTTAGGAACTGTAGCAGCTTGGATCGAAAACTGGTTAACAGACAGGAAGCAGCGGGTAGTTATTAGAGGCACAATGTCGCAGTGGGCCTGCATTCATAGTGGGGTACCGCAGGGTTCAATTTTAGGACCACTATTGTTCCTAATTTACATTAATGATATTGACACCAATACATACAGTAAACTGGTTAAATTTGCAGACGACACCAAGGTGGGTGGTGTAGCAGACACTAACAAGCAGCACAGAGGCTACAACAGGATCTTGATTTAATTAGGGACTGAGCTGATACCTGGCAGATGAAATTTAACGTAGATAAATGTAAGGTAATCCATGCAGAAATATAAAGTACAGATATTTTATGGGTTCAACTGAAATAAAAGTAGCTGATTATGAGAAAGACCTCGGTGTGTATGGTGATGCTTCCATGTCTCACTGTCGCCAGTGTGGGGAAACAATTAAAAAGGCCAATAGTATGTTGGGGTACGTCTCTAAGTGTGTGGAGATTAAGTCAAGGGAGGTGATGCTACAATTATACAATTCTTTGGTAAGACCCCACCTAGAATATTGTGTGCAGGTTTGGCCACCATACCTTAAAGAGGACATTGCTGCCTTAGAAAGGGTTCAATGTAGGGCTGCAAGAATGATTCCTGGTCTTAGAGGAATGTCTTATGATGAGAGGTTAGCTGAGCTGAATCTATTCAGCCTCACGCAAAGGAGACTAAGGGGGGACATGATCCAGGTACACAATATAAGATTCTAACAGGTCTGGATGTTGTTCAGCCAAATGGCTACTTTAATATTAGTTTAAATACTAGAACTCGTGGCCATAGGTGGAAATTAGTGGGAGAACATTTTAAACTGAACACCTTTTTACACAGTGTGTTGTTAAAGTATGGAATAGTCTTCCTGCTAGTTTAGTGCAAGCTAAAACCCTGGGCTCCTTTAAATCAGAGCTAGATAAGATCTTAACAACCCTGAGCTATTAGTTAAGTTCTCCCCAAACGAGCTTGATGCTCCGAATGGCCTCCTCTCGTTTGTAAATTTCTTATGTTCCGATGTTCTTAACAACGTGATTAAGAAAACATCTATCAGGAACTTAAGACTGAAACAGGGCACATCATAAAAACACAGGCGGGACCTGCAAGGCGGGGTTCAGGCCTCCCCTGAAGATCTGCTCAGAATCTCACCTGGCAGTTTGGTCAGCAAGCCAACCAGCTTGGCAGCTCTCAAATCCGTCCTGGAAGGCAGCTAGCAGCTGAGCGGGCGTGGCCACTAGGGCGGAGTTATCCTGACAAGCCCGCTGGGCGTGGCCAAAAGACATGCCCCTGTGCTCATTGGCTGCCTGGTAATGGAACACGACACCTAGGGGAAAGGGAAGTGACATCATGGGTGTTTATGGGTAATATGTGTACTTGTGTTCTCGCATAAATGTTTTATGTCACCTTCCATTGCCCAAGGCTAGCTCCAGTACTCAAGAACAGGAGTGCAGAGGATGGTAAAAATCTCCACATGTCATTTTTGTCCTGCCCCAAATATCAAGGATACATCGGTTGCATCCTTGCCAAACGAGAACAATCCCATGATTCATGGCGTCCCAAGTCCCCATGACACACCGACACGCAAACACACGACCAACAGGGGCCACATGCGGCAACATGCACCACAAGGTCGCATGACATCCTTCCCTTCTGCTGAGCGAAACACAAAATCACACATGCGATTATTAAATTGCATTTCCTTAAATATCTGAGAAAGTCAACATTCCCCATCGCTATCGCGATCGCTTCTTTCGCTGGGGCAAATGCCGGAACATACAATCAAACGGGGGCGTTCCAAACACGTCAATGTGCTTAACGTGGCATGAAAATGCCAAGCGGGCGGCCTTGCATGTGCCCGATCCATGACTGCTCCGCTACAATGACACCATCTCAGGGCCAATCAATGCTTTGGAGCTGACTGGAGACAGTTGGACAACTTATTATGAGGCACAGAATGAAGCGGAAGAAGAAAAAAAATCATAACACTCAGACATAATGCCTCTAATGAATATGCTGTTATTAATGCATGTTAATTAAGTTAACAAGGGAATGGAGAATTATTAGTGAGTAAGGCATTGTTAGAAGCATTTTGCAATTTCTAATTACTTCTAAGCCCTGGAGAGACCTGGACAGAAATGGGCTTCTTATTCTGCTGTCGTAGTCCACGATTAGTTTCCCTGTGCCGGGAGATATCCTTTGGGTAAAAAGCTAAGAATCCCCCCAATCTCAGTCCTTATAATTAAACTCAGAGCCCCACGCGTTGTGATGATTAGAAGAAAATGCAACACTTAGCTTTTGAATGTGTCAGAATGCATCCAAACACCTTGAGCAGTGTTCCGCAACCCACTCCTCGGGGACCGGCGGACAGTCCACGTTTTTGCTCCTGTCGGCAGCTGGGAGGGAGCAAAAACGTGGACTGTCTGGGGATCCTTGAAGACCGGGTTGAAAATCACTGACCTATAGGGGTTCATGATAATCTCTAACTGACATTGTTATAAAGAATGTTTTGTGTGCTCAGGAAAAAAACACCAGAGACTTCAGGTTATTTTCAGGGGAGGGGGACATTGGGGAGGGGGGGGGGAATGGGAGGTCAACAGTAAAATTTAAACAGTTATATTAGACAATTATTATGACTATAGACACTCGACTATAGAAAGGTCGGCTCGGTAAAGACGTTGCCGGGTTTGGAGAGCAACAGTGTCATAAATCCAAAGAGACGCTTATTTACGGTTCACACAATGTACATCATGACTTACTGTGTGCTAATTTCCACTAGCAAGTTTGTGAGAACCGCTGTGTTATGTTAGCATCGAACGCGCCTACGTAAATTTACATCACAAATCCATTCTGTTCCGCTGTTCTATAGTACTTTTTAAAGTAGGTGGCTGGAAATTTTCAAGTACTGAGTACTGCATCAATACAGCATGATGTGTGATGTGATACTACTAATAATGAATAATATAAAATATTTATGCCCTTTTTCTTTCAGATAATACATGCATATTGATGGAGATCACTGGTATCTTTGCGCATTTTAGCCAATCAGATGGTGGCCAGCTTGCAATGTCACAGCATGCTGCCTATGCGTTTATCCAAAACAGTTATTAAAAAATACATAATAAAGACAATAAACTTAGTAAAATATGCCAATTTCTTCTAATCACACATATGACCTCATCATTCCAATATACTCTTAACTCATTCATTAACAAGTGAACAGCAAAATGGTCAGTCCTTATCAAGAGCTCATGTATATTCATGCAATTATTGGAACTACAAATATTATAGTTGTGTCACATATACGTGTTTGTGAAAACTGTGCTCATTGTTCCATGACTGACAACTGACGACACAGAGACCAGACAATACTGAGCAAACGGACATTTATCCATCTTCTGTACCCATTTGTCCTATTCAGGGTCGTGGGGGGTCTGGAGCCTATGGGCGCAAAGCAGGTCAACAACCCATGATGGGGCACCAACCCATCACAAGGCACACTCACACCAGTCACTCACACTCACACCAGTCACTCACACTCACACCAGTCACTCACACACACACCAGTCACTCACACACACACCAGTCACTCACACATGTACACCTACGGGCAATCTGGTAACTCCAATTAACCTCAGCATGTTTTTGGACTGTGGGGAGAGACTGGGGTACCCGGAGGAAACCCCACGACGATACAGGGAGAACATGCAAACTTCCACATACATGGAGCCCTGCTGGACACTCAAACTGTAGTCCCAGATGTGTGAGGCAATAGCGCGACCACTCCCACAAAGTACATTTACATAAAAATAAAGATAATATAAGCAGATAATGATGATGTGTGTCACACATGTTGTTACTAGCACAGGAATAGAAATATTAAGTCTGAATTTACCTGCTTGAACACTGACTGCATGCACAACAGAACTGGTACATATGATGACAGCTCACAATTAGCATTGCAGTACTTACCAGTGACCTTTAGGGGCACTGTATCCTGTTGGACATCCATCCCTGCAGTGATGTTGCAGTGGTAAGTGCCAGAGTCACTGTAGCGCAGGTCTGTCAGGGTCAGGCTGGCATTGTAGCGGTCCGCGGAGTAGCCCGGCATGGACACACGCCCGTCAAAGGCCTTCTCCACGTGAACGGCACCATCCTCAGTGTGTAACACCAGCTGTTCCCCTTCTCCGCCTGAGCCTGGCTTCCTGCTCCAGCGTATTCTGGGCGCTGCCCCCTGCTGGAGGACAGCTGGCAGGGCAACAAGGCAGGGCAGGGTGACTCTAGTGGCCAGCGGCCGGCGCAGGTCGGGGTGAGAGCGTGGCACGTCAACCTCGGCCGCACCTGTAAGGAGAGATGGGGGGGGGAGGGGGTACAGACTTGATTATAAGCCACGTCAGACTGGGAGGGGGCCCTGAGCGGCGGGACATACACAGTCACAGCAGCCGCTGCTTGGACTGGGGAAATTAAAGATTTAAATTCCCTCCATTGGATGGACCTTTTCCTGCAATCTTTAGTCTATGCTGAGATATCAAACCAGAATTGTAGCAACAGGCTAATGTCTGTTATTCCTCAATCCTTTCTGCCCCTGTTGTCGAGTCCCCTGTCCCTCCCCCACAAAAAAAACACTCATTAGCCAGTGTGTGAAGACACAGCAGTAGGGGAAGGTTCTGCCTCTGGGGGTTTGCCTGCTCTGTGCCAGTACAGCCGGCTCATTCTCACCCGCCCGACCAGTTCGAACCCCCCAGTAAGGAACCTCTCATGTGTGAGCACAGCCACTGAGGCATGGAGATTCATTACTGATATAATGGGGGGAAGCAAACAAAACTAAACACTAAACAAAACATGGAAATGATCCCGTTCACTTGTGGAAAGTGTGAAAAGTAATTTCCAAATGGACACAAGGGACTGGGGCGGGTCAGGCGCTCCCGTGGGTCAGGCGCTCCCGCAGGTCAGGCGCTCCCGCGGGAGGCTCTGACAGCAGGCGGAGTAGCGAGGTCATTCATTTCTAGGTAAGTTTCAATACTCTCAGGGTCCCAGACACTGCTGGGTTCTTGCTGCTCTGTTTCCTTGTTAAAGGATGATTGAGCAGAGTAGAATAGTACTGTGATACACACCAGAGTAGTATGGTGTAGTTGTGTAGTAGGACGGTATATTCAAGCGGTGCAGTTGTATATAAGTAGTATAAAAGGTGTATTAGTATAGTGAAGCCATATGGCAGAGTAGGAGTATGGTGTAATGTAGAGTATATGAGTGTAGTACTGCAGTGTAGTGGATTGATGCAGTACTGTAGTAGTATGGTCTAATGTAGGGTATATGAGTATAGTGGTGTAGTGTAGGGTATATGATACTGTAATAGTATGGTGTAATGTAGGGTATATGAGTGTAGTACTGTAGTGTAGTAGAGGGATTGTAGTAGTTTAGTAGTATGGCGTAGTGTAGGGCATATGGGTGTTGTGTAATGTAGTGGAATGATGCGATCGTGTAGAAATATGGAGTAGTGTAGGATATATGACTGTAGTAGTGTAGTGTAGTAGAACATTGTGGTAGTGTAGTAGTATGGTATAGCATATATGAGTGTAGTAGTGTAGTGGAGAGTATGTGATTATGTAGTGGAATGGTGCGATGGTGTAGAAATATGGTGTAATGTAGCGTAGTGGAAAGGCGTGATCGTGTACGCAGAGATGTCTGCAAATCCTTACAGAATTGTACATCCAATCACCCACAGACCTCTTCTTCCTCTTGTCAGTGATTGTTTACAGTACGTCTCATCCATCTAACCTCCACTCTATTCCTCTAGTTTCATCTGCCCTTAAGGGGGGGAGGGGGGCTCAGCAACCCCCCTACAGCACCTCCCAGCAGACCCAGAGTGTAGACCAGCCCCCCAGTACAGTGCATCGCCCCTCCACTGTGTTGGCACCACCTGAGAACCAGGTCCCCGCCATCGCCTGATAATGAATCTTGGCTGTCATCCTCCATGGCAAACACGGGCGAGCACAATCCCAGTTATCCTCACCGCTCTCGCCGCGCCCGTTCGTTCATGGCACCGAAACAAATGCACGCCGAATTAATTGCAACTTCAGACTGATTACCCCCTCTCCCTTTTGTCAACTTGGCTGAAATTTGTTTAGTATTTACGTGCCATCCCCTGTCGTACTCGCTGCTGCCCGCGTCCAATTTGCAACGCTAAATCCCAGCTAGTCAATCGCATATGCCTCCATTTCAGAGGCAAATGACTGCTTAAAGGCAAAGGCTCTATTCCCATACGGCGGAATAATGAGGCTCAGCAGAAAGACGCGAGAAACGGAAAATCTGCATTTAGATGGAAATGTTTCTACAGCTGTGCTTTGTTTGAAAATCAGCTTTTTGCTTAAATCTGGCAAAGGCAGAAACGGCCTAAAAGACGCGCCGACAGTTAAAGAGGCGAAACGCAATCGGGTAGAAAGAAGTATTTTCACCAGGTTGGATGTGATACTGAATTCTGAAAGAGGCGGCGGCTTTTGTTAAACTTCTTTCATTTACTCTTTACAGTTATAGTTCCAGTCTGCAAGGCTTAAGGTAGGTATTGTCTAGTGTTTCCAATCCCGGTCCTCAGGGGCCCACAGTTGGTCCGCTCCCTGACAGAGCTGAGAAGAAGCAAAATCATGGACTGTCTTTGGGTCCCTAAGAACCTGATTGGGAAATACTGGTCTAATAGATCACAGAGACACTACAATATACTCGCTGGAAAGAGTTTGATCATCTCAACATCACGTGCAATTGGTGTAAGCTGGATCTCTAAGGTGCTCCTGTTTCTGGTTATCAGGAACATTCTAACATGATGTGTTGGAATTAGAAGACAGTATGTGTTATGAAAAGGGAGATAGATGTTGGAGACATCATCTAGCACAGTGTTTCCCAACCGGGCCCCACAGCTGGTCAACATTTATTCTCCCCCTGAGCTCCCTGCCTGTCTGCGGACTGTCTGTGGGTGCTGGAGAAACACTGCTTCAGCCGACTAAATGTAGACATGCTCACAATGTACGTCTTTCAGGTACAGGAATCCGGGGGATGGTGCTGGCCGGGTGGGCACCCCCTCCCCCCACAGCAGACCTGATCCAAAGCCATGGGCCACAGAGCTATTTTTACTGGCCCTCGCAATCATTATAATGAAACAAAAAGGTATAGTTCTATGTTCAAGTCTGGCAAATAATCACAAATACAACTGCTACTTCCATACTGGCACAAAAAAGAGCCCTCCTCAAAAGATAAAAAATGATTCAGAAAGAAAATAGTCATTAAAAATGGCCCCCGCTGACACAGTGAAGCTCAGAATTGGCCTCCGCAGAAAATAATTGACCAGGCCTGCCCTACAGGGATGAATAAGTGCACACAAAAGGTGAAAGGTCACGTGAAATAGTCAGAAGATACATCATGCTAAACCATCTAACATAACTAGAGTGAAGAGCCGACTTTGCCAAACAGCTACGTCACCCCTCACCCCTAATAAGTACCACAAAACAGAGACTTTGGAACTGGACGCCAGGGTGATGCTGGAGAAAATGATCCTGTAACGAGGGTCATGCTTCTGCCAGAGCACTTAAAAGCACACATATCCTTAAAAGACATATTCGTTTATAGTCCTCATCGTGGTAACCAATCATTTCGAGCTCCAGGGCCGGTTCAGATAATTGAAACGCTGCTTATCTTTCAAATACACAGAAGTCCTAACAAAGCACAGCTTTTAAAATAAAGTCAGAGGCAGTGGAGTGAGGGTCTGGTCAGAGGCTGCTCTCACTTCAGCTCTAGTTCGAGGGACGTGGTCACGCACCACGGCTAAGCACCGCAGTCACACACCATGGTTACATGGGGGTGGGCGATGTCTAGCAGGACGCTGAAACAGCAGCGCTGCCCTCTGACAGAGGGCGTGGAGGCTGTCAAACACAGCCACGTCTGTTGGAACAGTGAGTGGATCGTTTGGGGAAACAGTGCTTCCTTCAGTGGTCAGATGGGGAAGTGGCGCTTCCTACAGCAATCGGACAGGGAAGCAATGCTTCCTACAGGAACTGGATGGGGAAGTGGCACTTCCTACAGCGATCGGACGGGGAAGTGGCGCTTCTTACAGCGATAGGACAGGGAAGCTGCGCTTCCTACAGAAAAGCAGGCCTCTTCCTACAGCAATCGGACGGGGAAGCGATGCTTCCTACAGGAAATGGATGGGAAAGTGGCGCTTCCTACAGCGATTGGACAGGAAGTGGCACGTCTTACAGCGATCGGACAGGGAAGCAGCAATTCCTACAGAAAAGCAAGCCTCTTCCTACAGCTATCGGACAGGGATGCGGCGCTTCATACAGTGATCGGATGGCGAAGGGGCTATTCTATAGCAATCAGACGTGGAAGCAGCACTTCCTACAGTATAGCACCAGAAGCCAGAAAACAAAGGAAGCACATCTGGCTGTCTAACCTGCAGCTTTGATTACAATCTGAAACACGACAGCAGTGGATGATTTTTCCAGAAGAGACTGCTGGCCGTCCTTCACATGATTTTTTATATCACCTGCCAGAGATGGGTAATTCAGGTCCAGAAAGTAAAAATCCAAATCAAGATTTTCATTCAACCAACCAGTTGACCATAAAGAGTCACAGTCACAGAGTACTCAACTGGTTGGTTGAAACAAAATCTTGGTCTGGATTTGTACTTTCTGATCCTGAACTTTCCACATCTGCCAACTGCTACGGCAGTCCGCCAGGATCCGCTGCTTCCCAGCACCATGCGACCGGACGGTGACGGGCCTGGAAACCACCTATGTAACTGCTAACGGGGCATAGCCTCTAACTGCCCTGGCCAGGGGATGGGAACATCCTCCTCAGCATGACCTAAAGCCCATGGTAACGAGAAGGTCAAACAGGAAGTTCCTGGTAAGCAGGTTGCTTATGCTCTCTCTCCCACTGCAGCAAAGCAGCCCCAAAAAAAAATCCTGCTTGGGGGGAGAACCGCTTCCCCTGGAATCGATGATCACGGCCCCTTCGTCACCTCTGTCCCGTGCCTTTAAATAAGCCCCGCCCCTCCTCCACTGTATATTCCCGCTGGCCGTCCTGCACCAGCTGCTGTCAGGGTCGCTTCCGTGTCGCCCGCCGTTTGATGAGCTCTCCCAGGCAGCCCTGCGCAGTATCGCCGCATTTATCTTTCTTTACCTAAAGCCACAGCTATCGAGTACAGAGGTGCACAAGGGATCTGTCCCTGCTTTCCATTTTAATTTATTTGAGCTGGGGGCAAAAACTGGAAGGGCGCAGATTTAATGAGAAGAAAATGGATCTGTGGGAAAGTCTAGGCAGTGGATGGTTAACCTGCAGTGCAGCGCTGGCTTGGAGGGGGGGGGGGCTACTCAGGCAGGGATCCCCCCCCATTGCCACATATATGGATTGTAGCCACCGGCATGCAAGAAGCGGGGATTAAGATTTCTGAAGACTTCCCACAATGCACTGTTGAGACATCCAGGGCCATCAATGATGGTGCCCCTGATGGGACTTTGCCCTTGTCTACATAAACGGAGCAAGTCCCAGGGGAACTTACCCCATCCCAGCAGAAGGTGCAGGAAGATGGACAGAAGGGTGTGCAACTGGGACGCAGGAGCCTCTCTCAGCATGCTGGACCTGGGGAGAGACACGAGAAGAAGGCAGGGACTAATGATTAAAGTTTTAACGGATACAGAGGTAGCTCTACTACTAACATTATGGCTTCTTCATGCTCATGGAAGTTTTACTTGTGCAAAAATGTTCTGAGGGCAGAACGAAAAATGATTGATCCAGAGAGATAACCAATCAGATTGGAGTGGAGGCAGGTCCAAGCAACCAGAGGAGGAGGGACCAACCAGATGTCTTGGCCCTGTCTCCTCTAGTTGCTTGGACCCACCTCCTCTACAATCTGATTGGTTATCTCTCTGAACCAGTCATTTTTTTGTTCTGCCCTCAGAACATTTTTGTGTAAGTAAAACTCCCACAGACCTTCTTCAAATGAGGCTGAGGTTGTCAGGCGACGGGACAGAACTACAGAGACAGCATCACACCCGGGATCCCCCACGTGGTGATCTATAGCATTCTGAAAATCAGCTAGCAGGAATTAGGATGTCTGCTGGCTGTGGCTTTCTCATTCCAGAGATGGAGAGATAAAGTGAGAGAAGTGGCTGCACAGTGACCTTTCACAGCATTATGGGTAATTGATCATTCCACACACAGCTGTGCATTTTACAGCATCACAGATTGCAATCGCTGAACACCGGGCTCCTGCAGGTTATTCTGCTCCCATCCCTTCTTCATGGGTGGCCGACAGAGAGGGATTGTGGGTATTGGTCGCCAGCAAAGAGGCAAGAATGCCACCCAGATGCTCTGCTCCATGCTGCAGATCAAATGATTCTCTAGATCCTCTGTGATTGCCTGATTCCCATAAGGCATCCTGCTTGAAGCTTACATACACAATGTTGAGATGGAAATACTTTCCCAGTTTGTTCTTGCCATCATGACCACCTACCACACAGCCCAGTCCCTGTAAGTTTGAAGGCGCCCTAAACTTCCCACAATTCCAGAAGGTGCCCATTCTGACGCATATTAAAGATATGCGCTGGCTGTAAGTGCAAGTGCAGTGTCCTTTTGAAGAGAGACAAAGCTGTATCTCTGTGCATCACCGTGCCTGTGCGTGTCACTGTGTCTCCGTGTATAACCCTGCCTGTGCAAGTTACTGTGTCTCCGTGTATAACCCTGCCTGTGCGTGTCACTGTGTCTCCGTGTATAACCCTGCCT